CATCTGTTGAATTCAAAAACCTACTTGTTTGTTTTGAATTTCAAACCTGTTCAGGCCTATAAATACCTGTACCATTCCAGCAGATTTCCAGATCAAAATTGACTTGTTTTCTTCCAGTTTTGCTCTCTTGCATTAACTTATTCTTCATATCATTTTAGGAAAATTTTGGAGAGTATAGAACACAGGTTTTGTTCGCCGTACAAATTGTTTGGAGTGCTACTACAATTTGCGTAAAGATCATTGTATCTTGGGAGATAGACGCCTTTTATCCATAAGTATCAAAGCGGGGCGAATCTGTCTTAAGGACAGAGTGTCACACACTCGATTTGATCTAATTTTGTATTTATTTATTTCAGTAAAATAAATTCTGTAAGTAATTTATTTTTATTTGTTTGAGTTTGTTTCAAGTTGTTTATTTTACACAGAAGATTGTTCCAACACTTTTAACTTCTGATTTTTTATAATCAGCTTTTAACTTAAAATAAAAATAAAAATAAAACTATAACATACAGGGCCTCCATGTCCTTCATTTGTGGGATTGTTGTGTCTTAGGGGAAGGGGTGAGATACAAATAATGGGATAACAATCCCAAGGTGATTAACTTGTAAAAATACACTTTTGCCCACAAGTACATGTATCTTTATTTTTTTTTATTTTTTTTTCACAAATGATGGGATAAAAATTCAAATTTTTTCAAATGGTAGGATAAAGATTCAATTTTTTTTTTACTATCATATAGATAAATTGTTTAGTTTCGCTATATATTGTACTCAGTAAAATAAAATAAAATAGAATTTAAAAGTCTCAATTAAAAAATAAAATAAATTTATTTAATTTTTATTGATATTTTATTTATTTAATTTTTCAAAATTTTTAGCCAAAAAAACAAAAATAAAGATAAACCTATTATTGATGTTACTCAATAAACAATTGAAAAAATATTTTTTGTTCTGTGTATTGTACGAGCCAATGCACCGATCAATCAATAGTATCTCTTAAAACCAATCGACATTACTTCAATAAAGAATGGTTTGAATAAAGCCATTCAAAGCGAGATATTACTAGTATACATTTAAAATTAATCGATATCACTTCAATAAAAGAAGAATAATACTATATGCATCAATTAGTATATTAACTAGTGTATTAATAAATGATGTCGCACAATTTTAGAAGTTTTGAGTATTTATAATTTGTATAATAGGTGGCATCAGTAATAATGTCATAACACTAGTTCGTGCACTAGTTAGTACACTAATTGATGCATGTAGCACCACCAATAAAAGAATGGTTTGGATGAAGCGAGAGATTTTACTATGAGAAATTATTTCATGTAACAGGCACTTCACATACTCTTCAACTTATACTCTGTTTGTTTGGATGGAATATATTTTTAAAAAAATATTTTTAGCATTTTTTGTCATTTGATACAATGGAAAACAAAAGTCAATTGAAAACATTTTCTATGGTAAATGAAAAACAAACGTAATTTTTCATTTTCTATGGTAAATGAAAAAATATTTTTTATTTTTAAAAGATGGAAAACATTTTCAAAATCAAAGTTTTGTCAGTGCCACCACATTACCATCACTACCATCACCTCCACCATCACCATTGTCGCCATCACCACCTCCACTCTAGTTTGGCCAAACGATTCGGATCGCACTAGGATCTTAAATTTAGTAGGATCTTAAAGTGATTACGATTCAAGTTATAAAATCGTGTATAATTGCACTACGATTCCGATTCTACTATGATCCTAATCCTAAAAAATAAAAATAAAAATAAAAATAATAATTATTATTATTTATTTCTTATAGATGTATGTATATATGTATATCTATATATAAATTTGACTATAAATTTTTTTACAAACATCTTTTCTAATTTATGATAATATAAAAGATGTATTATATCAAATTAATAATTTTTCTATAATGATTTTACAAATATTTAACATACATTATCGTTATAGATAATTTATTATTTATTTTATATTAAAAGTAGAATCTTACGAATCTCAATCCGATTGTAGGATCTGATCCACAAATCCCTTTCAACGATCCTATCTAGAAACCCAATTTTAACAACCTTGACTACTGCCACAACCATTTCTACCTCATTACTACTACAACCATCACTACCACCACACCACTACTGTTATTGCCACCACCGCCACACCACTACTGTCACTACCACCGCTAGCACCTCTACTTTCACCTCCACTCTACCGCTACAGCTACCACTATCACTACCACTGCCACAACGACTAATGCAACCATTAGTAAATTAATTTTAAAAATGCAACCAAACATAAGAAAATATTTTCTACGAAAACAAGCAGATATTCATCGTCATGTTGTAAAAGTAAGATTAGAAAAGTCACAGTAAGATTAGAAAAGCCACTATGTATTCAACTTGAAATGTTGAGTATTCGACCATTTCAAAACATTAATCAATGAAGATATAATATCAATTCGATCACGTATTGTACTAATTAGAGCATCTCTATTGGTAATTACTATTATAATATTGTCAAAACTATAATTTGACATGTTAAAATAACAAATTGTCAAATTATAGCAATAGTGCTCTAATAGTACAAAACCATTTCGGCACAAGATCAAGACATCCCCCTAGATGACCACTCTAAACAATTGAGGTCATCCCCCAAGATATCTCCCAAACGACCACCTTGTGTAATATCTAATAAAATGGACAATTAATTTTGACTAAGCTGATAGATTTGACATTTGTCAAAACTTGTACCAAATTTAACATAAGTATTGACAAATGTCAAATTTGACAATTGCTTTTAACATTTGATGTACTTTTGTGCCCTAATTTTCTTTAAGTTTTTAAAGATAGAAAGTGCTTTTTAACCTTAAAAGAATATTTCAAGGGAAGCTATTCATTACTTTTCCTTTCTTTTCTGTTTTATAATTTCCTTTTGTGTTTTGCGTTAGGCACATGAGATGAGCCTTCTATTTTCTATACACTAGCCTGTTTGGTTTTGGTTTTAGAAATTCAAAAAATTTTACTTTTTTATTTTTCGTATTTTTTTGTTTTCAATGATTTTTTTTTAATATTTTAATTTTAATTTTTTATTTTTAGACACACGTAATATAAATACACTTAAAAAGTATAATATTTGTAAAAATATTTTTAAAGAATTTACTAAATACCAAAAATACAAAAAAATAAAAAATAAAAATTCAGTACATTTTTTGTATTTTTGTGTATTTATTAATTTTTTAAGATATTTTTTCACAAATATTTTACTATTTAAATACATCTAAGTAAGGTGCATATAAAAAAGTAAAAAAATCGCTGAAAGTTTTAAAAATATTCACTAAAAACAAAAACAAAAAAAACACGAAAAATAAAAAACTGAATTTCTAAAAAACTGAAACCAAACACATTGAATATTACTTTAACTTGCAAGAGCTAAGAGGGCGCTTGCATATTTGTATTACATCTTGTGTTATTTTGGTCAAGCTCCACATTAACCACTCCCCTATCTATACTACATAAATAATTGAATCTGAAAAAAAAGAAAACACATATAAATTAAAGGAAGAAGAGGTTACAGATTTTTGTTTTTTTGCCTTCTAATAGAAAATCAGAACAAAGGGAATGGCTCCCTTTTATACCAATCTCATCTATACCCCTCCATACTCTATTTCGTGAGCTCAATCATGACCTAACAACGATAATCCATATTGTCCATCTTGTAGACTTAACAGATAAAAAATCAGTTTCATCGGACATCATTGGACACATAAATAAATTATATTTTATTTTTTAAAATAGCCAGCAACTATTAGTTTAAAATTAAATTGTCCATTTCAAAAAATAAAATACAATTTGTTCATATATTCATTGATATTTGATAAAGCAGATTTTATACACACATAATTTTTACAACAAAAATGCAAAGTGAGACCCTCAAAATAAAATACAGAGAAATATGAAAGATAGTGCTACGGAGAGGAGTCCCTGTAAACAATTAACCAAAAAATGTTTTCTAGTTTGAGGGTACAATTACGTTCAAAAAAAAAGTTTTTGAGTTTACAATTGAGTGATACTAGTTAAAGGAATGGCTCCCTTTTATACCAATCTCATCTATACCCCTCCATACTCTATTTCGTGAGCTCAATCATGACCTAACAACGATAATCCATATTGTCCATCTTGTAGACTTAACAGATAAAAAATCAGTTTCATCGGACATCATTGGACACATAAATAAATTATATTTTATTTTTTAAAATAGCCAGCAACTATTAGTTTAAAATTAAATTGTCCATTTCAAAAAATAAAATACAATTTGTTCATATATTCATTGATATTTGATAAAGCAGATTTTATACACATAATTTTTACAACAAAAATGCAAAGTGAGACCCTCAAAATAAAATACAGAGAAATATGAAAGATAGTGCTACGGTGAGGAGTCCCTGTAAACAATTAACCAAAAAATGTTTTCAAGTTTGAGGGTACAATTACGTTCAAAAAAAAAAGTTTTTGAGTTCACAATTGAGTGATACTAGTTAAAATCCCCAGCTATGAAGACAAGGACTGAATGCAAACAGACATTGAATTTACTGCATGTATAATTAGATACAAGGTTTTTTTTTTTTTTTTTTTTTTGTTTGGTAGTGATAGAGAGATCTAACACTAGAGCTCTAACATGAGCTCTAGTGAGGTGTCAAAAAAAAAAAAAAAAGAGTAAACCAAAATATCATATCATCATGTGAGACCTACCATTATAGCTCCTTTAGAGCTTTTGGTTTAGAGCTCTCAAACATTATTGTTTTTTTTTTTTTTTTTCTTTTTCTTTTCCCTTCCAAAAAGTCGTGAAACTTCTCTCTTCAGTAAAACGTTTTGTGGTCCATTACTAGGTAAGTGGACTTTGAATTAACCTGTAATTCTCGCATATTGCATATATATATATAGATTTGTGTTGGACAAAAGTTAGAACAATATATCATGGTAAACATGGCTAATACTTGTTTCCAACTTCTTTTCCTTATCCTTCCTTTGTTTTTCATGTTTGTTTCCTTTGAAGCCAGTAGATTCAGTTCCAACTCTAGCAATTCCAACCCCAGTTGCATAGAGATTGAAAGGAAAGCACTTCTTGAATTCAAAAAAGGTCTCACAGATCCTTCTGGTCTCCTTTCTTCTTGGGTTGGCAATGATTGTTGTACTTGGATGGGCGTAGGTTGCAGCAACCAGACTGGCAATGTTGTATCACTGGACCTTCGAAACCGCTTTGAGTGTATTTACAACTCATCCTGTTTGGGCGGTGAGGTAAGTTCCTCCTTGCTCGACTTGAAATATTTGAATTACTTGGATCTAAGCCTGAATTATTTCCAAGGGATTGCAATCCCAAATTTCATTGGTTCGCTTGAAAAGTTGAGCTACTTCAATCTCTCTTATGCATCTTTTGGTGGAATGATTCCTCCTCATCTTGGAAATCTATCAAATCTGCGTTATCTTGATCTCTCTACAAATTCTTATGTAACAAGAAGTTGGGTTTCAGATTTAAACTGGCTTGTTGGTCTGTCTTCTCTAAAATATCTTAATCTTGGAAATGTGAACCTCACTTTGGCAAGTACTAATTGGCTGCAAGCTCTTAATATGCTTCCTTCTCTGTCGGAATTGAGATTGCGAGGTTGTGAACTTCACTACTTGCCTTACTCTGTACCAAACATCAATTTCACTTCCCTTTCTGTCCTTGATCTCTCTGAAAATAATTTCAACTCTTCAATACCTCAATGTTTGTTTAACATAAGTTCCCTTGTGGATCTGTATCTTTTTAGTAGTTATATGAAGACCTCTGTTTCTGATATCCAATGGGGAAACCTCTGCAACTTGAGAACTCTAGATTTAAACCTAAATCAAATTAGTGGCGACATAAGTGAACTTATAAGGGGTTTCGTTGGATGCAGCAACAGTAGCTTAGAAGAGTTATTGTTAGACAATAACCAAGTGAGAGGGTCGTTGCTAGATTATTCACTAACACACCTTCAGAACTTAAGATACCTTCGACTTTATGGTAACTTAATCTCAGGCCCAATTCCAGCATCTATTGGAAGGTTGTCAAAATTGGAGATATTAGACCTCTCTTCTAAGCAAATGAATGGGTCCATTCCAGATGGTGTTGGAAAACTTGCAAACTTAAAAGAGTTGCCACTTAAAAACAATTATTGGGAAGGTGTTATATCCCAAAATCAATTGCAAGGCCTCACAAAACTGCAACGTTTCTCAATATCATCGTTGAACAAAAGTCCAATCTTCAATATAAGCCACGCATGGGTTCCTCCTTTCAGCCTAATAGAAATCACAGTCTGGAACTGTCGATTAGGTCCCAGATTTCCAGCATGGCTAAGTAATCAAAAACAACTTCATGAAATAACGTTGACAGACGTTGCCATTTCGGACACAATACCTTATTGGCTTTGTGAGTTATCTCCACATATTTTTTGGTTAGATCTTTCTGGTAATTGGATACATGGAAAGCTTCCCAATTCATTAGTATTTCCCTCAGCAATTCTAGTGGATTTAAGTTTCAACTGCTTAGAGGGTTCACTCCCATTTTGGCCCAATGTGTCATTTCTCGTGCTGGCAAACAATTTATTTTCAGGATCAATTCCCATGAACATCAACCAAATGATGCCATCATTGGAGATTCTTGATTTATCTGGGAACATCCTAAATGGTAGCATCCCCCTATCCATAGGTAAGATGAAACATTTGCAAACTCTTTATCTATCAAACAATCATTTATCTGGAAGAATCCATGATCAATGGGGGGATTTACAAAGAATTGAAGTCATAGATTTATCCAAAAACAATTTACATGGTGAGATTCCAGATTCAATTTGCTCACTACCTTTTCTCTATTGGTTGAAATTGAGCAGCAACAATCTTTCAGGGGAACTATCTTTTGCATTACAGAACTGCAAAGGCATGAGGATGCTTGATCTTGGAGAGAATCGATTCTACGGAAACATACCCAAATACATTGGACAAAGCTTCTTATCACTATCGGAACTGCGTATACGAGATAACATGTTTAGTGGAAATATTCCTGAACAATTATGCTCTCTTGCTCACCTCCACATCCTGGACCTTGCTCTTAATAATTTATCAGGATCCATCCCATCATGCTTGGGAAAATTGGATGCTCTGAATTCTTTGATATCATATAGTCAACATATACCTTCTGTGGCTGATGCCTATCTTCAACGAAAGAAAATGGAAGTGGTTATGAAAGGAAGACAATTGATATATACCTTTACTCTTGAGTTGGTAAATATCATTGACTTGTCGGGCAACAATCTTCAGGGAGACATCCCAGAACTAATAACAAATCTCTCAACCTTGGGTACCTTAAATTTATCCCACAACCTATTGACAGGGAAAATACCAGAGAAGATTGGAAGCTTACAACTATTAGAAACACTTGACCTCTCATGCAACCACCTTTCAGGTCCAATTCCTCCAACCATGTCCTCTATGACTTTACTGAACAATTTGAACTTGTCATTTAACAATTTGTCTGGACCAATTCCCTCCGGCAACCAGTTCCAAACCTTCATTGATCCTTCCATTTACAAGGGTAACCCAGAACTTTGTGGGCCTCCATTGTCGACCAAGTGCCTCATGCCCAATGACAGAGATGTTGATGGAAACCAACATGCTAAGGCTCTCAAAGATGAGGATAAGAATGAAAACCTGGGCTTCTACCTTGGCATGGCATTGGGGTTTGTGGTGGGGTTTTGGGCTGTTTGTGGTAGTTTGGTGTTAAAGAAGTCTTGGAGATACGCCTACTTTCGGTGTGTTGATGAAATGAAAGATTGGGTTTTCGTTGCCATGATGGCGAACTTGAACCGCTTAAGAAGAATGATGGGAGCACAACATAACTGAAGGCCCATGTGGGTAATTACGTAAAGGTACTATTATAAATACTCAACTATTTTAGTCTTATTTTTCAATTTCTTCACACACTGACAAAATTAAGTTCTTTTTTTTCTTTCTTTTTCTTTTTTTTTTGCAATGAACATGCGTCTCTTTTAAGGCTAATAACAATCCTTCAACATTTTAAAAAGGGGAAATCATAGCCCAGTGAGTGTTAAAAAAAAAAAAAAAAATTACAAACACATAAAAATGTGTAGAATTTTAATGATTAATATTTATATAGTTTACAATTGATGTGTAATTTTTTTTTAAAATTTTACACTAAATTATTATTTCCTCGTTTAAAAACCTTAATTTCAAGATTTTTCACCAACATAAAGCTCTAAATAAGTTTAAAAAAAAAACACAACACAACTACATTAGTTTTATACCAAAAGCATGTGATTGTAAATCATATTTCCAAAACTCAAGTAGTTCCAAACTTACTTTTCATACCAATGTTTTCTAAAGCTGATTTTCAAGTTTAAAATGGTGCATTGAAAACTCAATTTTAAAAGTTTTAATTTACAGTAAAATTATCTAAAACACAACCTTATTAAAAGTCATGTTTTAAAAACACAATTTTAAAGTTGAAGTCGTGTAATCAACCCACACTTCAAAAAAAATAAATAAAAAATAAATCTTTGTTGACAAATATATTGAAATGAACTTCTTTCGATTAAAAAAAAACAAATCACACAAATACATCTCGGTTTTTTGCATCCTTGGTGTAGACCAATGACGTAGAAATTCATCCTTTGCTGCACAAATGCAGTAAGATCATAAATCTCCCCCATTCTTTGTGCAAAATATTGGTAAATCAACACAATGTATCAATCACTTTGATACTTTGCATGAGAAATGGCCACTTATTTTGTAAACAAAATCCAAAATTCTGACTTTTTACAGATATGTTGATTCAAAAAGGAAACTTCGAACAAGAAGGACATCAAATGAATAGGTTGGCTTGCCTTCCCACCACGGTCAACATGGCTTAGACTTTTCTTCGTGTTTCTCAGGTTTCAAAACTTTGGCTATATTTGTTTTCCATTAATGATGTTTGTAATAAAGATAGTTTTATAAGAACAATTAATAAACTTATCCTAGCCAAAAGCCAAGAAAGGTATGTTGTAGTAATATTATACAAATAAAAAAATATAGGGAAAAAAAAATTAAAGTTTGACCCTTGCAAAAAAAATAAATTCTGAATTTTTTATTTTGTTAATTTAACTCGTAACCTTTTGATTTATTATCAATCTAAATCATTTGTTTATTTTCGTTGAGTAAAACTGACGAAAAACAAATATTTTGGTCATTAAATTCAATATAAGTGTACATAACATGTTGAAAATATTATTTTCATTGAGTTTAATAATTAAAATAACCATTTTTTTATTGGTTTTCTTTAACAAAAATAGACGTGGTTTAAATTGAAAATAAATTGAAATATTAGAATTTAAATTGATAAAATTAAAAATTCAGGATTTATTTTGTTATAAGGATCAAACCTTAGTAATTGTTGATGTAGCACTAGCGCTATATATTTTGTTGTTTTTTGTAGCAGTCGATTGTACTATATTTTCATTCCCTCTGATATAATAAAATTAATGTGAGTCGTGGACGTAGGCAATCTTGCCGAACCACGTAAAATTCTTTGTTGTTTCTTGTGTGAGATTGTTTTTGCTTTTTTCTTGGTATTGTCTGTATGTTTAGTTATTTCACAAAACAAAAGAAAAAGAAGAAGAAGAAGAAGAAGAAGAAGAAGAAGACATAAAACAAAACAGAAAATTGTTTTCATCACTAAATATTTATAAATAAATAAATAAATAAAAGAAAAAGAAAAGAAAGAAAAAAAGAAAGAAAAATAAGTGTTTTTTATCAACTACTCGTGTAATTAGGATTCACATTGGAGCAAAACAAACCTCTTACAGCTCTAGTTAGTGGAAACTGAGGAGTATAAAATCACTTTCATGGGCAGTGGCGGATGGAGTAAGGGACCAGGGGTTATGTGTCCCCTGGATGTTGGGAGTTTGGGATTTTTTTTTTTTTTTTTACAAACATAAAGAAAATATTTTAAATAAAAAAATTACAAAAATATTATTAGAGTGAAATGTCAATGACATTTTAAAAATTATTAGAACAATAATGGTTGTTTTGATTGAAAATGAAGATACTACTATAAACCATATTATCTATGAAAATTTTTGAATGTAACGGTGATGTCATTATTATTGACATGCAAGTATAAGTAATCTCACTATAAAAATATGAAATTTATTGGACTGTTAGTTACATTTGACATGTGAGGTTCACTCTCTTTGTATTTATTTACTATTAGTTGGTGATATCACATACTAATGATGATGTGATATGACAACTATATTGAATTTTTAATCAAATTTTGTATTAAAAAAATAATTTATCATTATATAATTTATTTTAAAACTTATATTCATATTTTTTTATATTGTCCATGATACACTAGTTATAAATAACATTTTTTTTAATGTTTCTCAAAATCAATAGTAAAAACTTGTGTTAAATATTTTTGTAAAATTTTTCGATATTGTAATTAATAAGTGTCCCCTCTAATTTAATTTTCTGACTTTGCCACTGTTCATGAGGTAGAACAAATACAAATACCATGGTCTAACAGATATATTCATATAGTATATTCCTTTCTAGAAGATGAAGTAGTAACAAAGAAACAATTTGTCACGCCCCAAATTTTTAATTACTCAAAAACATTACTAAGAGCCTGAAATTTAGGTCTTTTTTTTATATACAAATATATATTACCCTTGAGTAACAGAATCATAATAGTACATGTTCTCTCTCATGATGAATACAATAATAATAATAATACATGTCAAATTCCCGCTGTAGAGTTACAAATAAATAATTACAAACATCAATACACAATGAGATTACACATAAGAGATACATGAACTTCCTAATCTTCCAACCAATCAATCCGAATTCTTTTCCTATAAAAAAAAAAAATGAAACATCGAGGGCTGAGCACACTTGCCCAGTAAGAATCTCATAGTTCAAAAACAATAAGCATTCTATAGACAGAAATGATCATGCATGCAAGGTGATACCATATAGTACGGTGACATTTTGTAATTTCAAAATATCATACATAGCGTATCTTTTTTTCGAAATTTATTTGAACATTTAAGGAAAAACCTTCGACCATAAAAAACTATCCCTTTTCGTTAGAAAACCATAAATCCTTTTTGAAAACAAATATGTTAAAGGAACAATATCATTTTAAATTTATTAACTCATTCCAAAATATTCCGTATTAAATTCTCATCTTAACATTCCTCTTTTTATTCCCATTCTCCCTTTTTACTAGTTACATTTACTATAACTTCATAGCCTCAAGTTCAAGCTCCCTTAATACTCCAAAACATCCCACATACATGCTATTCCAACCAATCTATTCATATTTGTTGTAGCTCCTCAATGCAGAAATCCAAATCTCCTTTATATTCAATAACAATTACATCACATCTACATTTGCATTATCAATTATAATCCAACATATTACAACTACATCACATCCACATTTACATTATCAATTAGAGTTGAAACATAACACAAGAATAACAAACCCTTTTTAACACAATGTCTCAATTATTTACAAAACAAAACTCATAATTTCCCCTTATAGTCACAAGCAATCCAGTGAGTCTATCATCACCAACCTTTAATCCAATTACCATCTCATTTTCCATTCTTTCAAATAATGTCATATTAAACACCGGATCCATTAACAAGTCATCTCCGCGAGTCACATGCTTTACCGGTCACAAGCTGGAAGGAACGCGGAACCTCACGCTTTACCGGTCACAAGCCGGAAGGGACGCGGAACCTCTATATATCCCAACATACCACAGGCTTTACTAAGCGCTACTCCGGAAGGAAGGCGGAACCTATTTCAAGCGCCACGCTTTGCCGGCTCAAAATATGGAGAGAAACGGACCCCAAAACAATATTGCATTCTATAAATTTTATCAAGTCATCCGTCATTGTGGTTAGTGGGCAAAGCCAACACATCATTCATTATTCCCGTTATACATTAGTTCAAAACACATCCACTTAAAATTTCACTTACATAACAAGTACACATTATGTTCCACCACTTTTTCTATTACCCACCAAGTCATTCACATGTTCATAATTTTTGGGTTCAAACTATTTCTTTACTCTTCCATATTATTATCAAGTCTTCCAAATTAATTTTCACAACACATCGATTATCAATTACTATGTGAGGCTATAAATTAAATCTCTAGCATTAATTTCTTTGATACAACTCCTTCACGTAACACTGTCATATTTCACAATCTCCCATTTATTGTTACTCACACTCATTTTAACCCAACCTTAACTTAACACAATTTAACATAACTCAATGCAATTCAACATAATACAATAAGATTCTTAAATATTCACTTTATCATTTTATCACAATTCCCTTACCATTAGTAATTTCTTTTCCCCAAGTTTGGTTTCATATTATAACATAATTTAAAATATCAACATTATGAGTTCAATCACAACTTTTACATAAATTACTCAAATTCTTTAAAATTTCAATTAAACATGTACATGTGTAATTTAACACCTTAATTTCATGATTCTACTATTAATTGAAGCAAAACCATTAACCATCTTCATGAGCCAAACTAGGGTTTTTAAGAGGAATTAAAGCTTTTCACAAAAACACATTTTATTCCAACCCTTTTATTACTTTTACACCCAAACTCATGACCCAAGATCATAACCCAACAAATAAACCCAACTCTCTTCAAACCCTAACCCCCAATCTCATGATTCGTCACAATATGCATAAAAATATAAACTTTTGTATTTATATAAAGAAAATACCACAAATTTATCTATAAATGAGGGTATTTAAAGAGAACTAGAAACCCCTACCTCTTGAAGCCAAGAGATGATGACCCAAAAATCGATGGCGATGAAGCCACGTACTAATCGGACTAAAAGAAAGCCCTTGACGAGATCTACAACCTTTCTCAAAAGGATTATGGTGAAAAGATCACTCTAGGTGAGTAGATCTAGAGATCTTAGTGCCAAAAGCTTGAGTTTAAAGTGAGGAGAACTCACGGTTTGAGAGAGAGGACAGAGGAGACAAGTGAAATGAAACTATGTTTGGAGCCTACTTATAGTAGTAGAAAAGTAGTCCTAAGGTCAATAAAATAATAAGCCCAAAACCCTCCAAAGGTAGGGCCCATTCGGACCCACAAATCTGAAAATAAACACTTAAGGGTTGACCGCTGGTGTGGTGGTGTCGACCCTTCAGAAAGAAAAGACAATGCTGGAAGCAAGGTGTCGACCCTTGGACAGGAAGGGTCAACCCTATATTCCAACAACTAATACCCAGATTCTGCAATATACAAGGGTTGACCCTTCCCAGATTGGTGTCGACCCTTGTGGACAGCAACAAGAGGCAGGTGTCGACCCTAAATTTCAGCAACACTTCCAGTAACTTCACCAACAGGTAAGGGTCAACCCTTAGGAAAGCTAGTGTCAACCCCAGAATAGAATTTCTAAGTTCTCAAGGAACTTTTTGACAAGAACAAGCGCAAACAAAACCCAACGAGTTTAAATCGGATCATACTCCTCCAAAATCAACATTCAACAACTCCAAAGACTCCCAAAAAAGAAAATAAGGGAATTAAATACACTCTCCAATGGGTTAAAGGATGTAGATGTTACACAATTAATCATCTGAAAAGTTAAATATTGTGAAGCATGCTAGAGTATGGGAATACAATTTGACAAGGGATAATAGACCAATTATAATAGCATGAAAAAATGATTATCTCATTATTTGTTAAATATAGTGGGTCCAAAACATACGCATAATTTTTATTACATGAATACACATAAGAAGTAAAACAAAATTCAGTTCGATTTAAACTTGTTCGAGATCAATTTCAAAAATAAACAAGTCAAGCTAAATTTTCAAGTCAAATTTCTACAACTTACTACCCAACCCGACTCATTTGCAGTTAACTGACAATTACTAGAGATACCACCACCATTAA